TGTTTATAATTTGAAAGGTAATCTTGTCAGTTGTGTATACAAAAAGGTAAATTGTTTACAAAATGAGTCTTTGTTTATTATCTGATAAATGTATACTTTTTTCGTCAATTGTTGACGATTGCAGATGCCTTTTGTGTAAAATCCAAGTCGGATGTATGTAAGCTAATAAATGTTCTCGTTAATCTTATCTCGCCTTTTGGTTCGTTCACGGTTACAAGAAATCACCACATAGAGACTCTCAAGTCTCTGTAGATATAACAAACAGAAATAAATTAGACAAAATAAATTGTAGCTATGCGTCGATTCCGCGCGACAGTACATGCTCCATAAATATCCGGATGAAAAACAACATAATGGCAACAATGGATTATGGAAATAAATAAATCTAACAAATTATGTTTACTGCAAGTCAATTTAGGGAAAAGCATTGCTGCTACCTCCCTTCTTAGCAAGCAGTTTATTAATTATGACCTAGTGCTCGTGCAAGAGCCTTACTGTCGTAAGGATGTACCCGCATGCTTACCCACTTACTGTCCCGTACTGCGAGGCTCAGAGGATTTCCCATTGACTATTACTTTGGTGCCGAACATCGGTTTATCTGTAATGAAGCATAATTACTGTAACCAATACTTGATTACAACCGAAATTATGATTAACAATGAAAGGATTGTTGTGGTCAATGTTTATTTCCCTGTGGACGCAGAGACCGTATATTTTATTGAGAAACTACAGAGGATTGTTAACGACTTTCAAGGCACACATATAGTCATTGCAGGGGACTTCAACGCCCATTCACCTGCATGGGGCGGCAAGAACTTGGACACACGTGGGAGCCTCCTTGAAGAATTCTTTGCGCTTAATGGTTTACTTATTATAAACAATCCATACTCACCACCCACTTTCACATCGAGCAGAAGTGAAAGCTGGATTGACGTGGCGGTTTTCAATGACAGCTCATACTCCAGGATAACAAACTGGAGAGTTATCAATGATGAGAACTTAAGTGAGCATGCCTATATTGAATATGAATTGACAGACTCAGGTGATGGGGATAGGCCGATATTTGCATCACGTCCTAAATATGCGCTCAATCAAGCTAACTGGATAGGAATTAAGAACTATTTAGAGGAACACCTAATTGAAACTTACTCAGAGGAGCCAGAGGTAGCTAGGATACAACTAGACAGTAACATTAAGGCCATTACTAAGGCTTGTGAAATTTATATTCCAAAAAAGAGAATAAATAGGAGAAGTGCCCCTTGGTGGACGGCGGATCTGAGCAAACTCCGAAGTATAAGAAGAAGACTCAGAAAGCAGTACCAGAGATGTCACTACGATAGCACAAGGAGGACTCATAGGAAGAATTATCTACAAAGTCAAAGAACATATAAGCAAGTTATAGAAGACATAAAAACAAGAAGTTGGCGAGAGTTTTGCACCAGGGCATCTTAAACCCGTGGGGCTACATTATACGTATGTGTAGTAATAAGCTGCGGAAGACTCAGATTTTGACATCATCAAGCAATAACAGCGAACCTAAATCTCTTATTGAGACTCTGAATGCCCAACTACAAATTTACTGCCCAGATGACAACCCTGAAGAAGATACAGAATGGCAAAGGAAACTGCGTACAGACACCAATACACTAGACAACACAAAGGACTATATACTACATCCAAGCCCATTAAATACTATATATAGGATTAGATTGATTATTTTAGGTAAGAATCCTGGTATTTTAGAGTCAAAAGTAAATACTACAGATCGAAGACAAGAGGAATATATTATACCCAAAGTTTTAGAGAAAGCACATGTAGAAGTATCAAGTGAAAATACAGACCAATATACTGAATGTAAAACTACTTTTTCTTCAAATAAATCTTCAGGAAACTCTACATGCAATCTAGACTTTAACACAATCTCTGAAGAAACTTCCTACGATGCTCTCGAGTATATAGCAGGATATTTTGCCTATAAATATAAAGAAAAATACCCAAACTTAATTAATTCCACTAACAAAATTAAAAATCATTACAACTATAGCATTCCGTCATGGGTGCAACATTTATCTTATGGAGGGCTTATTAAACCTACTGATGAATGGCTAGCAAAAATTATAGAATGGAATAAATATTTCGAAATATATCACGATGAATCGTATAAAAAAGGCCCCGGAGTTGTACAGAATTAGTCAGTGGAAACAGTTTTACCTTTTACTTTAATAAAAGATTTTTGTAAATTAAGAACTATAATAAGAATTAATTATAGAAATCTTAAACAAGAAAACTATAAAATATTGAAAAGAATGCCTTCTGAAAATGGTGATTGTCGAAAAAAAATTAAAAAGTTAAGTAAGATAATCACATAATAAAAAATATAGCTCATTAATTTGTTAAATAAATATTAGACAAAAGACTTGTAAATTTATTGACGTACAGTACACTTATTAAATCCGAAAATTCTACAGTAGTTTACATTTAGTAGTAATTTAATAATTAATTAAGAAATGATTTAATATTTTATCGTATTTTGTTATTTGAAAGATCTGTCATGTTGAAGTAGAGGGCTTGCTGTGACGTCACATAGATCCAAGGTCACGCTAACAAATATACGGGATCTGGCTATCCTTGTAGTTTAAAGTCCTTGAGACAACACTGAGGATGTTCCGCCATTTACTACAGGGGAGATTGACAGTATTGTCAGGAACTTGGGCAGGGGCAAATCTCCGGGCCCCGATGAGATTACGGCAGAAATTACAGCCAACCTCTGGACCCTATTATCACAACAACTTCTTAAAATTTACAATGCCTGCCTTAAACACGCAATCTTTCCGCAGGAGTGGAACACTGCTTGTGTAATACCGGTCCTTAAACCGGGTTCTGCCTCAGAAACCAGGCCAATATCGTTATTACCAGTTATGGGAAAGATTCTAGAGAAACTGATTGTAAACAGGCTCACTTGGTTCATCGAGCGGAACAATTGCCTTAGCGAATCTCAATTTGGTTTTCGTCCACAAAAATCAGCGGAAGATGCCATTCATGGTGTAGTCAAGGGAATTCAGCATCTCCTGGAGGATCATAAATACGTTTTAGGGGTCATCCTGGACATTTCAAAAGCTTTTGATAGTGCATGGTGGCCCTCATAAACTATCAATTGCGCAGCATCAAGTGTCCAAGGAACATTCTCAACCTTTTACAGGACTATCTTAAGGACCGCAGAGCTACATTACATTATGGTCAGCACCATGTTACCAAAACCATTTCCAGAGGATGCCCACAGGGTTCTGTTTGTGGACCCTTGCTGTGGAATGTGATCTTTAATGTATTTTTAGAGAAGGATTTTGGACATTCAAAATGCTTTGCTTATGCCGACGACGTCATGCTGCTTAGGGGGGCAGGTCCAGAGCTGACCTCGAAAACAGAGGGAATACTACGCTTCAACACATCTACAGCTGGGAAGAGGAACACAAATTGAGGTTTAACCCCAACAAAACTAGGGGAATAGTTTTCAACAGACCTAGACAAGCTAACCTCTACCGGCGTCCGCCACACCTCAAGATGAACGGTAAAACCATAAAGGTAAAAGAGACCCTCAAATATCTCGGTGTATACTTGGATTTTAGGTTGTTTTGGGACAAACACGTAGAACATATAACGAACCGCACTGGACTTATCCTGCAGTCATACGCCCAGGTGGCGAAAAGTAACTGGGGCTTGACTTCAAATGCAATGTCAATCATTTACGATGGAATATACTTGCTTATTATGACTTATGCCTGTGGCACCTGGGGGTGGGCCACAAGGAAGGTACACACAAACCGCAAACTGATATCATCACAAAGACGTGCGCTTATCCTGATAGCTAAGGCATTCCGAACCGTTAGAGCCTGTACACGCTAGGAGTTTTTCAACGCGCGTTTAACGCCGAGCTAATGCGCGTTAGCTCGGCGTTCGACGAGCGTTAGTTCGGCGTTAGCACTGGCTCAGTTTGAAAATGGACGTGAAAGTAATTGATTGTGTGTGCCTCCTCCATCGTCGCTATAAGGCAGCACATATATCTCAGCGCCCGTAAAGTGCCCGCAAAACGCGCGTTTTAACAAAAATCTATAAACGCGCGTTTGTAGATTTTTGAGTGTGTACGCCTACATAGAACTCTTGGTTCTTTAAAACGCGCGTTGAAAAACGCCTAGTGTGTACAGGCTCTTAGTAACAGGTATTTCAGGTGATTGCACGTAAGCCGCCCATAGACCCCGCTATTCTTCAGAGACAAAAGTATCAATTAATCAAGTGGGGTGAGAACATCCAGACTACAACAAGCACAATACATCATGATGACATNAAAAACGCCTAGTGTGTACAGGCTCTTAGTAACAGGTATTTCAGGTGATTGCACGTAAGCCGCCCATAGACCCCGCTATTCTTCAGAGACAAAAGTACCAATTAATCAAGTGGGGTGAGAACATCCAGACTACAACAAGCACAATACATCATGATGAAATTTAATGGTCTATCCCATTTCGTGAATCTCTTCCTCCCAATGATAATACAACCGACATACACAACACTAGTGAATCATCTAACATCAATATTTAAAAAATATAATTTCTAAAAATAAAAGATTATCTTTAGATAAGATAAACGAGTAAAATAAACACTCTTTCTTAAACCGATTTCGAGTAATTTGTATTAGCAGACAAATAATTAACAAAGATACTTTACTTCAGCCAACGCTATTTCTTTTATTACTTTCAAATTTCTCAAAAAAACTCTCCAAATGCATTTCGCCGTTACAGCCTCATCGATGGATCATCCAACAGCAAGCAACTCTTTCCTTTTTATACAAATAAATCTTTCCCAGCATGCATCAATATTTAGACCGACATTCTGATTTAACAAATTTACATGTTCAGCAATACAAAAATGCTCTACCACTCGTCTTTTAAACCAATTTTCCATTTTATACAAGATTTTTACAGAATTTCTATCAATTTTACAATTATAATTACTAAAGTGTTGATACCAAGGTGACTCTTGTCTTTTTAGACGAATCGCTGCCTCGTGTTCTTTTATGCGTGTCTCGAGCCTCCGTCCCGTTTCTCCAACATATGATTTCGCTTGCAAACAATCACATGATACTTTGTAAACCACCCCTGAGACACCAAGCTGATTTTTTTTACTATATTTTGACCTCTGGTATTTATAATATTAATAATATTCGACATTTTGTTTTCCTGCTTGGCCACTACACATATAGAAAACTTTTTAAAAATGGATTTATATCGTTCGTAAAGATTATGTATATAAGGCATTTTTACATAAATATTATTATTTATACAATTTTTTACGTTATATCTGTAATTTATAAAAGAATTATACCACTTACAAATTTTACTCTTTGGGTAGTCATTCAATAAATATTTTCTAAATAATTGTTTAATTTCTTTATTTATATCTTCCTGTTGTGATATTCTGTTTAGTATTTTCCTCAATTCCATAGTAAATACATTTCTCTTAGTATCTACAGGACAATAAGACTTATAACTAATTGTTTTTTCTGTATTACATAATTTTTCATACTTACGAAACACCAGTTGCATTTTCTCACGTTTAATAGTCACATCCAAATAGTTTATTTCCTGATTCTGTTTTAATTCACTAGTAAGCTTTATATTAGTTTTTAATTTATTCGCATAATCTTCAATTTCATAAGGTGTTACTATACATGAATCAAAAATAATTAATATACCGTCCACATAACGAGCATAAAATTCTATACCTGGAACTTGTGATATATTTTCATCAATTGATTTCATACAAATCTCAGCTAATTTACGTCCAACAACTGATCCCATAAATTAGTGCATTAGGTGATCCTCGTCGATTTCCTCCAACTCGTCCTCCTATACCTGGATGCGGCATTAGATGCTTTCCACCCGGAATCGACACCTTTTCCCGGACGTGACGTCTCTTATCCGGATATGACCACGGACTTGTGACATTCGGTCGACGACAACTGATTTGACTCCCGATTGTGACCACCCGGCCGTGACACGTTTACTCACCGGACGCGACATTCGGTCAACTTCCTTCCCAAACAGCTGTTAATGAGGATTGAGCTTTCGGTTAGGTCAGGTCCTTCGCTCCTCTCAAAACACTTTCCGGGAAGAAAAACTGTCTGATAAAGGTAATAATGTTGATTTTAGATAATAAATGAACTTCTCGCTTTCTCATTGTCTTTGTGTTTTGTAGGAACATTTGAGAAGGAGATTTTACTCCTTCTTCGACTTTACCACGCAGTGGCGGATTTCCGAACAGGCGCGCGTGGCACGCGCCTGGGGCCTCAAAATTCAGCTTTCAAAATTAAAATAATATATTTTATTTAATTATTATTATTTTCTTTTTAATTAAAAGAGTTAAAAATTATTTAAGAAATACCTTATCTAAACTCCATTTAAGTCACTTGTCTATGGAGTTTATAGAAAATGATATAGTTATGTTATTAGATTATGAAAGTCTAATTGATAAATTTGCTAAAGTTAAAGCGAGAAAAGTTCCTATGTAGTTTGTTTTTCATATTCCGAAAAAAATTGTTATTAATATTATTATATTCCAAAATATTTTTAATATTTAATAAACAGTGATAACTATATTGATTAATGTATTTTTTATTAAAGAACCTTATTTTGAAATTAACCATATACCGGTGGTCCAAAAAAAGAGAGACATAGGGAAATAACATTGAATATTAACCAATATAAAATTACAAACTGCCTGGCTATATTTAAAGGTTTGCTGATGTTCAGGTTTTATTAATTAATTATGAAAATTGAAACTTATTGGTACAAGAATTATTAAGTTTCATTAAGTAAAAGAGTTAAAAAACAAGACAAAGAGTTAAGCCCAGGCAACAAGGACACTTCGTTTTTTTGCCGTGGCGTCCACGAGGCTATGTCCCTCGTAGTTAAAATATTCGGAGGGTCCTCAAAATTGAATTGCGCCTCGGGCCCCTCAAGTGCTAAATCCGCCATTGTTACCACGAAGAGGACGAAATGCCATTTATCAGTTAAGTGAATATTTCCCAAAATCTCCGATGGTAAGAACTTTCGTTTTATTTTTTACACACCTTATTCTTGTATCGTAATTTACTGTTTCTCTGCTTTTAGACATGCCGAAAGACGCCCTCGTTGTGGTGCTTCCCACAAGGTTCCACCTTCGTCCTTTGCCTCTGTATCCTCCGAAAGTTATAGACCTTCGTTGACAGAAACTTCCGAAATTCCGATCTGCATTCACCGGGCATCGTTTCCTGTTCGAGAACTGGACTTTGAATGCACATCCGGTCAGGGATAGGAAACTACCCTAGTTGATGGACTTTCCTCTTCTTTGAAGACTACGCGCCGAAGTACACAAGGACTTAAACCCTTCGTGACTATAAACTTTTTGTAAGTTAAATTGTCTAATAAACGGGTTGTGTTGTTTGTAAACGAGGCATCGATCTCTGACCCAACCGCTCCCACATGACGTTGATTGTTACCGCTAGGCAGTCCAGACGGCATGGAGACAATAACGATATCTCATATAATCGTTATTTTTCGTTTTGAAATCCCTCCTCGGCTTCTCACAAATCTTACCCATCCTTGGTTTCCAAGATCCACAATGTGGGCTTGCAAAACTGTATGAAACGGTATTTGACAGATCAGTCACAGATCGCCATGGGTTCTTCAGCAGTCCGAATTCGATCTAGAGCGGTAGAATGAAGTCTTAACCTCTCAAACATCTGGTCGTCATCTTGTTATACTAGGTCTTGAAAGTATAACAAGTAGCGACACTTCCATATAAATTTTTAGTTGGTCTGAAATGTCCCATGTCTCTCACATAATATATTATTTCGATGAGAATTTCATATTTGATGTACAGAGAGTGATTTGCAAATTATAACTCACTTTTTCTCTTACTTGTTAGTTTCTTTTACGAAGCACACGTCGACGAATTGTTTTTGTGTGCTAGATGTGTTCTTCATCACGTTGGCTCACAGCACTACATCATTGTTTCCACGGTTCGAAGATTTTCTTGCAAGTTTCGACCGATACCGATGACCACTCCTGTTGAATTACTTTCCAAAGACCAGCCTTCCGTTGAAAGAGGCGTTGCTTCAGGAAGATAAATCGAAAGAAATCAATGGGACTGTTGTCAGGTGCTTCGGTGGGCATTTCTTTTTGCAGGAATGTGGTTTGGTCCACCTTCAGCTTTCAATTTCTGGAGATACACAGACAGATATACAATCGCTTACTAGACGTTTTGTCATGGTGAAGAATCACTTTGGCTTCTTCTCTAGGATAAAGCTTTGAAATCTCATGTTCCAAATATGGTTTCAAAATACATAGTAATTCTCTACATAGTAATTAGCGATAACTTTCACATCTTTTGGCACTCTGATAAGAGGAAGTGTTTCCAGCACGTCATTCCTCCAACAATCATAAATCCTTCGTGCCATCTTTCTTGACATTTGACAAGCTATTCATCTGACACTTCCTGTCGAGTTCCATTGCAGTAATCAAGGTATGTATATACGCTTCATCTGTGGCCATGTACTCGCTTTTTCCTCCAGCCAGATGCCTCTCGTAGAGCTTTTTCGCACTAGTCTTTCGGTTTGTGCGCAGATGTGAGGCGATGTACCTTTTTTCTTAGTAGCTGCTTGCAGATTTTTATGTATAATGGTGCTAACTGTAAACTGAAATATACCCAGACGTTTTGCTATAATCCTTTCATTAGGTGGATTTTCTTTTCTTTAATAATATAATAAATTATTTAATAAATTTAATTGCTGCATTTTGTATTTTGTTATAAGAAAATTTATTTTATATTTTCATTTAAATAAAAAAAACTAAATTATATTTATAATTTTGAATTTTATAAAATGGTTCTAAGAAACAAAATAGCTTCAATTAAATCTTCCTTCATAGATGCCCTTAAATTAGCTTTAATTATTTTCAAAGCTGAAAATAATCTTTCCACACTGACTTGTGTTGGGGGCATTGCTGTGACAGATCTAGCTGCATCGCGAATAATTTCTGGATAAATTGAAATAGCTTCTTCTACGTTCAATTTTGATAAACGGTCATACTTTTCTATTTCAATTAGCCCATTTAAAAAATTTTGTTCAAATTTTATTTTTTCAATTTCTGCCGGGTTAGTTTCTTGATTCGTTAAACGTCTTCGCTTCACTTTGAGACGTTCTAAACTATCCAAATATGCTTCGAAATCAAGCTCTTTTTTTGGAGATGATGATTCCGAGTTGTCATTACATTCATTATTTTTATTTTCATCTTTTGATTCATAAATGTAAGGTAACGGCAACTTTTTCAAGCGAATAGCTATTTCACGAAGCTTTTCTTTCCCTGGGGCAATTTGATTGTCATTTAGTAAAATTCGATTCATTGGATCAACGTAAATAGCGGCTAACAAGATTTTATTGTCTAACAACTGAATCTCTCTTTCTCTCATTGAAGATAAAATCGCATTAGCAACAATTCCTCCAGTTTTGTCCAGCTGATGCATCAAAGTTTTCCACTGTAAGAAAAAATTTCCAGGTGTCAAATCTTCAGCTTGTAACTTACGGTAACAGTGTAAGGTTTCCGACTTTTAGGGGCAATACGTTAATTGCGCGACAGGAAAACCTAGGGGCGAATTTTATGTGGGTGGTGGCGGTTGGAGGCAAAGATGACAAGTGTCTTACACGAAACCGTTTATTTTTGACATAAAGTTAACTTACATAGAATCAATAACAATAATTAGGAATGTTGGACGTCAGCTGCTGGTGGGTGCCCGCGGGGCTTCCTAGAAGAAGAGTCCGACGGAGAACGGGCGATGTCCAATGTTCGGATTCACACTCCCTTCTTAGTAGGCGGAGAAGCTTGGACGGTTGTGGCTGATAGGTGCACGGATGACCTGGAGTCTTCTCGGCACTCGTCTTGGGGAGAATCGGTCTTTTTGTCCTTGAGATTCGGGGATTTTATAAGATTTTCCTCGAATATTACCCTTTTGATTCGTCCCGTTCACCCTCTCCCTTACCCCGATTGGTCATTCTTTTGTTTTGTAGTACCGTAGCGTACCGAAATACGTTAGCGTGGAGATTAAGAATAGAAAAGACAGCACAAATTGACAAAACACTGAACATATTTAATTTCACGAACATACACATCTGAGGTTCACACACGATTTTTGTTTCGCGATGGGGCTCTCGTCACCCCCTTGATCCGGACACAAGAATACGACGGAGTTATCTAACATAAAATCCCGACGCGACAATTAGGAATCGCTGCAATCACACATAAATTGCCCGACGCGACAATTAGGCTTAGTTCTTTATAACTTGATAATTGGACTGTTCTTGCATGGCAGATGATCTTGATACATGCTGAAAGTCTCTCCTTTAGTACACGATTGTCCTCCTTCCACGTGATCCTTTCTTCTTTGTTCTTCACCTTCCTTCCTCTGCCAACGACCTGACACGAACCCAGGTGAAACGAAAAAAAAAGTCCTCTAAGCACATGGTCTTTCCTTTTTATAACCCGCGCCATGTCCTGACGAGGGAACATACGTCATGGCAGGGGAGCAATCACAGGCTCGCACTACTACACCTCAAGAAGTGGTACGAACTTTACGGAAACAGTCTACAATTACCAATGCGCGACAAAATACAGTATATAGATACATATATATTTAATGATAACATACAAACATTTAGTGGAAAACACTACAGTTTCTAGGCGAAACCCGAGACCGATCCGGGTCGGAAAAAGGTCGGAGAGGTGACAACGGAGCTTTTAAAGTCCGCGCTCGTATTTTACTACGTTATGGCCTTTCTCTGACATATTTGAACCTAAACGGTCCACCAGATGTTCTTGTGGCCATTTACCCCCTAACGCGTTCGTGCTTAACAGATGTCCCTTTTGTCATTAACTCCCCCCTTTTCTCGATTGTTTCGACCCGACACTTGTTCGCGAGCATCTCGACAAAGCTCTCTCTCTCTGTCGACATTCCCCCTACTGTTTATCATCGCGTCGCGTTTGTCTTACAATACGCAAGAAAGTTTTCGTCCCATCTGGGTTCTGTCATTAACACACCCTCTTAACCCGATTCTATCTTCGAAACTCTCCGACTTAAAACTTTCGTAATTAGTCGCAATTTCGACGCGCTTTTACGACCCTCACAACAGTATAAGACACTAATTTTTCTGTTTGTTTCCATTAGTTTTCAGTTAATAAAACACTTGGATTATCAAGGTCTTCAAGGAAGGTTTTCAATTCGAGCAACCGCTTAACCATTAAATAAGTGCTTCCCTAGCAAGTAGATTGATCTAAAATAATTCCTTTTCTAGCACGCCTTCTCAGAATAGCATCTATTTTAGGGGTTCTAGCTACAGTAGCTACCTGTCTTAATTTTGTAATGATTTTAGCTACCCGAGAGTCTTTTAATCCATATCTTATTGCTAATTGCAACGTGTAAACAGTACATCGCATATGTTGGATTTGAAACATATTGGACGCTTCCTCCACAATATCATCTAAATCAGGGGTGGCCAAAACGTGGCGCATGCGCCAAACTTGGCGCATTGGACGATTACAATTGACGCTTCAGTCAGTTCTGAGCAACATTGCCAGATTTGGCTTCTTTGCAATTATGAATATTACATAGAAAATTAATTTTTTATAGTCTGTCTTGGCAAGTTCATTTGTTGCACAATTTGTTGCAATCAACTTTACAGATAAAATGAGTGTTCTCCACATAGTAAATTACAGTGTATGCATGTATGTTTATTTTCGATCAGTTTACAGGTGTCTAAATGACAGTGCTAACGTCCCACGATAGTGCTACCGTCCGGACTGTCCGGGAATCGGAATCGGATTAGACTACTAACTTCTTTTCCCGAGTAGTTCCTGCGACACCTGTTGACCTTTTTTTTTTTTTTTTTTTTTGCCTGTATGGTACACGATACATTCGTGTTCATGTACACCACTAATATCTTAAAGAACTATTTTATACGGGTAACTACACTACAACCGCATTTTTCATTGCTTGTTCTGTGGCAAAACTGAATTTTCGTCTTATAAATTAAAATACAGTACCTAATTAAGGGGAGGCCGAAATTTTTCTCCAACCCGGGCGGCTAACACTCATGGTATGCCACTGCGTATCTGAACTCGTCTATCAAAAAATTGGCGCATGGTATGCAAAAGGTTGGCCACCCCTGATCTAAATATTCCTCTATTATAGGCTCGATTTGTGCGTCAATGGTGAATATTTCATCAATGTCTTCTAATGCAATTTCATTATCTTGAGATTCATTTTCTCGGTTATTTTTAACATATTTGAAGCATTATCTGTTACAACACACAAAATATACTCCTTTTTATTTTAAAATCTTCTAATACCTCTTGAACCCACTTCTGCAGATACTCTCCTGTGTGATGAGCTATAGTGTCTTTCACTGCTAATGTCTTCGTAACAATTTCAGGGCCGTGTCGTGCTATGATTCAGAGAGGCGGACGCATCAGGCGGCAGAGTAAGGAACGGCATAAGAAGGGAATATTGCAAATCAAAATATTATTTGAACTATTCAATAATTAAAATTTTTTACGCAACGCTTTTCTATATTGGTCTGTTATTCCGATATTGATGTATGCGATTTATGATTTATCACACGCCTCTGCCCAAGTGCTTTGATTTCGGTTTATGGTGCAGGTGCATTGTTGGCGAGCGCTCGCCAAAAGGCTTTTGACCTGACAGCGCAAAGCTATTGTTTTTATTGTAATATACCTCGAACCCGCAATTCCTTCTTAGCGTAATTGGCAACGCATCTGCACGGTAAGCAGGAGTTGCAGGTTCGAGTCCCGCTTCGGGCCGATTCCTTTCTTCCAGTAATTCTAAATTATTATTTAAATTATTTAATTAATTTATAATTATTAAATTTATCAAGAGATGGCGCCTAACTCTAATGCCAAATTGTCTATTAAATTATTAGTATTATAGCCGTTTCTAGCTCGATAATATACGGCTTTGGTAGATGGATAGCTTTAATCATATCGGGTATGTAAAGATGTTTGATTACTTTTAGTTTATATTTTCAAAATAAAATAGTATTCGTACATTTCGTGCAGTTTTTTTTTAAATTCACAATTGAAGGTTATTTTAAAGAAAAAACATTTAAAGGGCGGCATTTCGAACACTTGCGCATCATACTGAGAAAATCTACCGCACGGCTCTGGTAATAATTGTATTATTCTCATCAATAAATCGAACATTAATTGAAAAATAATTCACTCGATGACAAATGCATGCATCCATTTTAATAGAGAGGTTGCGGCCGAAGTTTTCATCTCTAAAACATGAACGTCGAGCGCCCTATTAAGATAGCGGCGCTCGACGTTCACGAAAACTTCGGCCGCAACCTCGCTAATAAATATCAAGCGATCCTTCAGTCTTTTTCGGAGTTCATCTTTTTTCAAAACAGCCTCTTCAATTATAAGCCTTATGATGTTTTCTTTATGTAGTAAAACTCCAAGTTTTCTCGCCATTTCGCCGTTTAAGTCTAAAAAGGCCGGTCGTGAAAAGATTAAAGGCACACTACCTTGCACCACCATTTCAATTATGAGATTTTTTTATTTTGCACTCGTCATTGTTACTGTAACTTTATCCGAAGCAAAGAATTTACATACTTATGTTTGTACTGAAGTAAATTTTTCTAATTTTAAAATAGATGAAGTGTTTCTACTGTTGTCTTTTTCATTTACTTCTTGTAGAATTTTAGGATGTAGACGTTGCAAATGTATTTTAGATTACCTGCTCTTGTAGGCGCATTTTGTTTTTCAGAACTAGCAAAAGCGCTAATTTTTGCTTCACATACATGTTTACCATCATCATTTTCTACAATGCATTTACACTGATAATATTTTCCATCCGTTGTAAGAGTATAATATTCAAAAACTGTAGACTTTAAATTTGAAAACACTTTCTTTTCCTTTGTGAAATTGTAAAAGGGTAATTAGGTATCTACCAATATTTACGTTTATAAAATTAGATATAACTCTTAAAAATAATATGTAGATAAATATAATTTATACTTACAAGTCATAGGTAAAATAATCTGAACTTGAGAATCGAAGCAAAAGCCCTTTAAGTACTTTTTCCGAGTTAAGACGAAACCTTTTCCGAGTTAAGACGAGACGTTTTTCCGGGTTGGACGAAAAGGACGCAAGTACGAATCCTGAATCGGACAAGGAAGTCGGTCTCCCCCAGAGAGATATTAGTAGTGACCAAAAAGTACGTGTTCTAATTGGGATTATTCCTGGAACTACTGCACACCGATTCCCCTCGAAGTCTACATAAGGACGTCCCAAGAAAGTTCACTGAGCAGGCTAGGCTAAAGGTCAAATAGTTGTAAATTTTGGAGACCCCAATGTCTCGTTACAACTTTTGTAAAAGTTCGACCGATGGAGAATTATCTAAATATATAAAATTGCTTGTCCTGACTGACTGACTCACTCACTGACTGATTC